AGCCAGTGGTGCGCGTCGTCAGCCCAGTCCGGCCTGTTCCTGCTCCCCGCACCAAGCCAGGGGTGCGCGTCGTCAGCCCAGTCCGGCCCGTGCCTGCTCCCCGCACCAAGGCAGTGGTGCGCGTCGTCAGCCCAGTCCGGCCCGTTCCTGCTCCCCGCACCAAGCCAGGGGTGCGCGTCGTCAGCCCAGTCCGGCCCGTGCCTGCTCCCCGCACCAAGCCAGTGGTGCGTGTGTCCAGTCCGGCACGGCCCGTGCCTGTTCCACGTGCCTGTTCCGGAGCCAGAGCAATCCGCTCCACCGGGGTCCAGTTCAGCTCCGGTCAGCGGCTCCACTCCGGAGCCAGAGCAGTCCGCTCCAACGGTGCCTGATCCAGTTCCGGTCAGCGGCTCCACTCCGGAGCCAGAGCAGTTCGATCCACCGTCGTCGGGTCCAGCTCCAGTCAGCGGTTCCAGTCCAGACCCAGACGTCAGCCCCTCTCCAGCTTCAGGGTCTCCCACACCAGGGTCCAGACAGGGCTTGGTACTTCATGGGAGGAAGGAGAAGGGAAGCAGCGCGCTGAGGTCCAGACCAGACCAGGGGCGCAACGGGGAGGTGGAGAGTAAGTGGTGGTCACACCCGGAGCCGGATCCGCCTCCGAGGCGGAATGCCCACCCGGCACCTACCCTGTTATGTTTATGTGGCGCGGTCGGAGTCCGCACCTTTGGGGGGGGGGGTACTGTCACACCCTGACTCTGAGGACTTGTATTTGTTGAGTCAGGGTGTGTATTTCCGTGTTGTGTGTTGCTATGTTGGGTTTTCTATGTTTAGTTTCTAGATCGTTTAGATCTATGTTGGCCAGGGTAGTTCCCAATCAGAGGCAGCTGTAGCTCGTTGTCTCTGATTGGGTAACATACTTAGGTAGCCGGTTGGCACTAGTGGGTTGTGGGATCTTGTTCCGTGTAAGGTATGTTGTTTGTATGTTACCTTGGACTTCATGTTTCGTTTCGTTTGTTGTTTTTGTCGTGTGTTTATTCGCTTAATAAACATGTATGCTTATCACGCTGCGCCTTGGTCCGTCTCGTCCGTAAACGATCGTGACATGTATATTATTTTGAATTAATTATCAAAATTTCCGGAACCCAACATTCTAAATTAATGGGGGAATATGTTGCGATTAACAGTACTTCACTGATGAATATATATTTCATGGGGCATTGATAAACACTGACAAACAATTGGCACAATGAAACAAATGCACACAAATAGGCGGGAGTCAGTGCGCAATAGTGGAGAGAGACGTGCCTATAGAGCATCTTCGCCACACACCCCTCCCCTTTTCTCTCCAAGCCTGGGGAAAGGGTCGGAGCACACACTCCCCTCTCCAGGCTCCGGAGAGAGCTCTGTCATAATCAATTCAGTGTCAGTCAATGTCAGGATGAAAACCTCACACACCCCATCATAGGGCAGACATTCCTGCAGAGCGCCCCCCATAGGAACAGCAGAGGAGCAGGACAGTTTGGCCTCCAACACTGCTTCTTCACCAGAGCCCGACTGGTAAACTTGACCCTGCCCATATAAATCAAAATCTAATATTACAGGCGGATGCGTATTACGTTATTCACTTAGCCTAACACAGAGATGAGAAGCCGTTATTGGGAGTCCCATAGGGCGGTGCACAATTGGCCCAGCGTCATCCGGGTATGTCCGGGGTAGGCCTTCATTGTAAATAAGAATTTGTTCTTAACTGATTTGCCTAGTTAAATAAAGGTAAAATAAAAATATAGCATACGTTGTTCTCTGCCTGTTAGTATTGTATTTTACATGATGTATGCTCTGGCAGTGAACTACCCCAAAGGAGCAGAGCCTAGCGCCAAGACTAATGTACTGCATGTAATCTTCTAATAATTGGTTAAATGAATACGTGGCATTTCCTGTCTGAATATGCCAACATTCCATTCAAACAATACATCCATACACTGTCTGAAATCAGTTGATGATAGGAATAGACAAGTTGTAAATGCAAAAGTACTGATATGGTATCATATAATTGTCACGATCGTCAGGGAGAGACCAAGGCGCAGCGTTGAATGCGAACATTATATTTATTAGAATGATCACACGATCAAAACAACAGACGAAAACGTGATGTCTACGGTTTGAACACAAACCAAATAAGAACAAGAAACCACAAACACAAAGTGAAAGACAGACAGTTAAATATGGCTCCCAATCAGAGACAACCAGCTGACACTCGTTGCCTCTGATTGGGAGTCACTCAGGCCAACATAGAAATACAAACATAGAATTACACACCCTGGCTCAACATAACAGTGTCCCCAGAGCCAGGGCGTGACAGTACCCCCCCCTAAAGGCGCGGACTCCGACCGCGCCAACTAAATACCACAGGGGAGGGACCGGGTGGGCACTCCGCCTTGGCGGCGGATCCGGCTCCGGGCCTGATCCCCACTCCCTCTCCAACCCCCCAAAGTACCCCTGGTCCGGTCTGGCCCCGCTGGCCGGAGCTGGACTGCACACTGATGGAGCGGATTGCTCTAGCTCCGGCGTAACGCATCTGACCGGTGCCGGACCAGGCACCAGTGGAACAGGCACGGGCCGTGCCGGACCGACGACGCACACCACTGGCTTGGTGTGGGGAACAAGCACGGGCCGTGCTGGACTGACGACGCACACCACTGGCTTGGTGTGGGGAGCAGGAGCGGGCCGGACAGGGCTGACGAAACGCACCACTGACTTGGTGCGGGGAGCAGGCCGGGCCGAGCTGGTGACACGCACCATAGACTTGGTGCGGGGAGCAGGAACGGGCCGAGCCGGGCTGACGAAACGCACCACAGACTTGGTGCGGGGAGCAGGAATGGGCCGGACTGGGCTGGCGACGCGCACCACAGCCTTGGTGCGGAGAGCAGGAACGGGCCGGACAGGGCTGACGAAACGCACCACAGACTTGGTGCGGAGAGCAGGAACGGGCCGGACAGGGCTGACGAAGCGCACCACTGACTTGGTGCGGGGAGCAGGAACAGACCGGACCGTACTGGGGACACACACCACTGGCCCTACATCGGGATCTGGAACGGGCCGGACCGGACTGGTAACACACCCCAGTACCTCTCGCCGTGCCTCTCCACCTTCCATCCCCTCTTCGACCAGTGGCCCCCGTAACCTGGCGGCCTCCTCTGCCAACCCGCTGGACCGCTCTATCGCGGCCTCCTGCTGCCCCGACGTCGTGAGCCCCCCCCTAAAAATTTTCTGGGGGTCTCTCCTCCCCGTGGGCCAGGCCTCTATCGTTCTCGCCCAACTCTCGCTCTTCTGTCTCCAACTCCCGCTATTCAGCTCCTCAATGGGCTTGACCCAGTCGAAGCTCTTCCTCAACTGTTCCCAAGTCCACCCTCTCTGCTCCTCACTAGGCTTGACCCAGTCGAGGTTGCCACGGAGATCTGCTAGCGATGGCTCCTGGACACGCTGCTTGGTCTGGTTTTGGTGGTTTCTTCTGTCACGATCGTCAGGGAGAGACCAAGGCGCAGCGTTGAATGCGAACATTATATTTATTAGAATGATCACACGATCAAAACAACAGACGAAAACGTGATGTCTACGGTTTGAACACAAACCAAATAAGAACAAGAAACCACAAACACAAAGTGAAAGACAGACAGTTAAATATGGCTCCCAATCAGAGACAACCAGCTGACACTCATTGCCTCTGATTGGGAGTCACTCAGGCCAACATAGAAATACAAACATAGAATTACACACCCTGGCTCAACATAACAGTGTCCCCAGAGCCAGGGCGTGACAATAATAACATTCACAGCTTTAAAAGAAAACAAAAATGTATACATTTATGGTCTGTTCACATATATTTTAGAGGCTATTTATTCAGATAATTGGTATAAAACCCATATAAACTGTATTTATAATTGTAGGTTAACAATAATTCTATTACACAATTTCTGATATATCACATGCCTTACTTTTATTTTTCTGAATAAGTAAAAGCAGGATATGATCACCGATGCCTCTACTGCCATTCATTCCAATTAGACTGGTTTGGATTTCTCCGTGACCACAATGGCTGCGATTTTCGGACCATTCTTGAACTTTAAAGGGTTAGGAATTAGGATCTCTATGGTGAATGCTTTGTACACGGTCTGGAACTCGGCCTCTTTTTTGGGGAGCGGCCAGCAGTTGCTATGACTACACGTAACTAAGGAGATTTGTTTACATTGGCAACTGGACCTGCTTAGCAGCTGTCCTCAGATAACTTGCTAACATTTTGCCTTCTTTATTTTATAGAAATAAAAGTATTTACTTTTCAGTGATACAGACTTTATATATTCAATGGACTCCAAGACGTTATACTACTCTCTGGACCTCGTTTCTGGCAACGGTTTAACTATGAGCAGTGAGCAAAAAAGCTGCCCTGCAGACTTCCCTGGTCAACCTGAGGAGGAACTAGCTACACATTCAACCATGTCTTATTTTGGGGCAAGATTCTGTGCATACAGGGTGACTATTTCATTGCACAGGGGGTTTCAGAGGATGAGATGAGTGATAAAAAGAGCCTTTACAGGTAAGGGGTGCAAAGGAAATAGTTTAGAACCTCTTCCACAACAATATTTATAGCTTGCTTTTAGCAAGTCACTCTTGTCGCTTTGGAGTTGTGAACCATTCTCCTAATCAGATGTTCTCTCTCTCTCTCTTCTCTCTCTCTCTCTCCCTCTCTCCTCTCTCCCTCTCTCTCTCTTCTCTCTCTCTCTCTCTCTCTCTCTCTCTCTCTCTCTCTCTCTCTCTCTCTCTCTCTCTCTCTCTCTCTCTCTCTCTCTCTCTCTCTCTCTCTCTCTCTCTCTCGCTCTCTCTCTCTCTCTCTCTCTCTCTCTCTCTCTCTCTCTGTATGTATGTATGTATGTATGTATGTATGTATGTATGTATGTGTTTGTATCCTCTCCCCACTCCAGTTTCAATTGTGTGGACTGGCACCTGCTTCCCCCTGCCACACTGAGGCAATGCTAGCGGTGGTTACTTCTGCAGCAAAAGGTCGCATCGTGGGAGACCCCTCACATGAGTATGAGCACACAGAGACAAAGGGAGGGGGACGAGGCTATGGAGGAGGACGTCATGATGGGAACAAGTGTGACGAATGATGTTGTTTAAACGTTGAACTAGGCTAATGGTGTTTTGCTTATTACTAAGAGATAAATGTGCAGTAACTTGATGCAGATGACCCTCGTGACTGTGTGTGGTATTATTGCAGAGTGATGAGTAATGGATGTTGTGACGGATGTTTGGTAATGGTTGTTGTTTGGTTTGCGTTGCAGATCAAGGTGAATGAGGAGAAGAGGCTGCCCACCACTGTCCACACCATTGATAAGGAGGTGTCTGTGGTCCCGTGCGGCACCTTCATTAAGAGTCCCCACGGCCTGGTGCAGACCAACCGCAACTTTGAGGGTAAAGCTACTGTTCAAAGTAATTAATGAAATGTATGGCTCCACATAGAGTGTGGTGGTTACCAGTTGAGAATGTGGTCTGTCTGTGGGGAGATGGGACACAGCTATGTGTGTTACTGCCTGGAGATGATGACTTAGCTGTGTAGTTTTTAGCTCCGACTGTGTTGGAAGTTGGAACTAGAATCCAGCCCATCATATATCACACACTGCACATTGTGCATGTGGGTCTGTAGTGTACACACATATGCTTTTCTGTGTTTTCACTCTCATACATGGACAGAATCATATCATGCTGTCAGTGACTGGGTGAGGGAATGAGTGAGTCTTTGTGTGTTCTGTCTATCCTGCAGGTCAGTCCTCCTCGGAGGCGGGTAAACTCAGCTGCTTCCTGCACTTCACTGAGCCGCAAAACCTGAAGAAGAAATCCATCCTGGAGATGGCTGACCTCGACCCCTCCATCAACTTCCTGGACCCTCTGAGTGAGGATATCCCCAAAGGTAACAGAGTGCCAAATCTCTCACTACACCACTCCTTTACCAGGGCCATTCTAACAGGTACAGTCAGTCTACCTTTCCCCCCATGGGAGGAGTTTCCTTCCCACAAATTGTCTGTCTTTAGAAATAGATCCAGTTCCATGAGTTCCTTGAAAAGCCCTTGAAAAATAGTATTTGTGGGAGACAAAATGTAATATGAACATGAGGTTACTTCTGTTGGACATGCTCTGGTGGCCATGCACTATTATACTAAACTAGCCTTGTTATTGGCGCTGACAATGATTTGGGTTGGCAGTTGAGAGCCCAGTCTTTCTGTGAGGAAACTATCAAGGCATTCTCTTCTGGATCTTGACTCCATATTTTATTTTTCTGCTCTGCAAAGCAGGCTGTTTGGGTTAACCCATCATATAAAACAGCTGTAGGCCTATCTGCTGACAGCAGTTCCAGCCGTGGGTCAGTAGCGAGGACGTGAGCAAGGCAATGAGTGGTCAATGGCTGCCTTGCTCTGCTGATCATGGATCTTCACCAGATGGAATACAGATTCTAGAACATGGTTAAATAATTCCCTGGGTAGTATTCAAATGGCTCTTCAGTGCTCAATCTGGGATGGAATTTAAAGAAAGCTGGCAGCCTTTCCCTTTAGATAGTTATGTTGCAAAATGTCAGGCCAAGCCTTGGGCCCACCACCCACTGTCAGTCTAGCCTTGAGTTTTAGAACGATTAAATTGCAGACAACATTATTCACAGTCACCATATTTTTCACAAGGGAAGCCAACAGGATTCAACCAGAAGCCAAAACAGAGGGCCAGGGATAAATGTAATACAGTACTAAATCTGGATATAGTTAGTCTAAACATGTTTGTGGTGTGCTCAACAGGATGATTGCTATGGACAAGTGATAGGTAATGCTGTGTGTGTGTCCAGAGCCTGTGTCTAAAACATATCACAGCTGTTCATTTAACAGGGATGAGCATCTCTGTGGTGTGTGCATGTGTGCAGTGGCGACTTTAGAATGTAAATCTTGATGTGGCAAACTCCCCCCAAAAATGTTTTATGCATGCCAGCAAAGCCACTACACAACACAACACTAAACAATACATGAATTGGACTATAATGGTGACAAACGGAGCCCACAAACTGTTAGGGCCTACATAAAGCTGTCCCAACACCTTATCACTGTGACACCTGGCTATCAGCGGAGCCTTGTCTGGCAGCGAAATAGTTCATTCAGCCTCATTTACTGCCTTTTAAAAACAACATAGCTGATATGGCTGACTTGCTTAAACAAATGTGGTTTCTACTGACAATTGAGATGTACAAACTATGGCATAAGGGGACGACGAGCGGATAAGAGGCAATCCGTAATTTCGATTAAAACATCAATGAGCGAGCTAGGATGGATGTAGTCAATATAACTATTTGTTCAGCACTTTTGAAATGTACAGCAGCAGAATTCAGAACATGGGCCGTTCTTACAGTATTCTCCCTGTCAGAACCGTAGGATAAATAAAGGGGGCATATAAGCAGACAATGAAAGCTCTTACAATATTCAATGATTACATTTTCTCTAAAACAGGCTATAGGCTACATGTGCACCACCAAGTCAGAACAGTAGGCTAAGTTATGAGGGGAAAAGGGACCAAATTATTAGGGTGAGGCACATGGGCTACTAACAGCTTACTACACAACATACACTTAGTATTACTTTCTTAGCTACAGTATACAGTGGGGAAAAAAAGTATTTAGTCAGCCACCAATTGTGCAAGTTCTCCCACTTAAAAAGATGAGAGAGGTCTGTAATTTTCATCATAGGTACACTTCAACTATGACAGACAAATGGAGAAAATGTTTTCCAGAAAATCACATTGTAGGATTTTTAATGAATTTATTTGCAAATTATGGTGGAAAATAAGTATTTGGTCACCTACAAACAAGCAAGATTTCTGGCTCTCACAGACCTGTAACTTCTTCTTTAAGAGGCTCTTCTGTCCTCCACGCGTTACCTGTATTAATGGCACCTGTTTGAACTTGTTATCAGTATAAAAGACACCTGTCCACAACCTCAAACAGTCACACTCCAAACTCCACTATGGCCAAGACCAAAGAGCTGTCAAAGGACACCAGAAACAAAATTGTAGACCTGCACCAGGCTGAGAAGACTGAATCTGCAATAGGTAAGCAGCTTGGTTTGAAGAAATCAACTGTGGGAGCAATTATTAGGAAATGGAAGACATACAAGACCACTGATAATCTCCCTTGATCTGGGGCTCCACGCAAGATCTCACCCCGTGGGGTCAAAATGATCACAAGAACGGTGAGCAAAAATCCCAGAACCACACGGGGGGACCTAGTGAATGACCTGCAGAGAACTGGGACCAAAGTAACAAAGCCTACCATCAGTAACACACTACGCCGCCAGGGACTCAAATCCTGCAGTGCCAGATGTGTCCCCCTGCTTAAGCCAGTACATGTCCAGGCCCAACTGAAGTTTGCTAGAGTGCATTTGGATGATCCAGAAGAGGATTGGGAGAATGTCATATGGTCAGATGAAACCAAAATAGAACTTTTTGGTAAAAACTCAACTCGTCGTGTTTGGAGGACAAAGAATGCTGAGTTGCATCCAAAGAACACCATACCTACTGTGAAGCATGGGGGTGGAAACATCATGCTTTGGGGCTGTTTTTCTGCAAAGGGACCAGGACGACTGATCCGTGTAAAGGAAAGAATGAATGGGGCCATGTATCGTGAGATTTTGAGTGAAAACCTCCTTCCATCAGCAAGGGCATTGAAGATGAAACGTGGCTGGGTCTTTCAGCATGACAATGATCCCAAACACACCGCCCGGGCAACGAAGGAGTGGCTTCGTAAGAAGCATTTCAAGGTCCTGGAGTGGCCTAGCCAGTCTCCAGATCTCAACCCCATAGAAAATCTTTGGAGGGAGTTGAAAGTCTGTGTTGCCCAGCGACAGCCCCAAAACATCACTGCTCTAGAGGAGATCTGCATGGAGGAATGGGCCAAAATACCAGCAACAGTGTGTGAAAACCTTGTGAAGACTTACAGAAAACGTTTGACCTGTGTCATTGCCAACAAAGGGTATATAACAAAGTATTGAGAAACTTTTATTATTGACCAAATACTTATTTTCCACCATAATTTGCAAATACATTCATTAAAGATCCTACAATGTGATTTTCTGGAAAAAAAAATCTCATTTTGTCTGTCATAGTTGACGTGTACCTATGATGAAAATTACAGGCCTCTCTCATCTTTTTAAGTGGGAGAACTTGCACAATTGGTGGCTGACTAAATACTTTTTTCCCCACTGTACATATCTCCCTGGCATATTACATAATTTATGCAGCAGCACACAAGACATTTTTAGACTCACCTTGTTGTGCTGTGCTCACTTGAACAGGAAGGTGGTGCGGCGGTCCTTCGTGGTCAAATTTTGTCATCAACTTTGTCATTAAAGTCTGGTATTCTCTGGATTTATGGTGCTTTCAAGACAACTGGAAACTCCGAAAAAAAATAGGTTGAATCATGACATTAGTTATCTTCAGGTCAGAGCTCTAGAAAGAGTCCCGAGTTCCCGACTTGGAATTCCGAGTTGGATGACCATTCAAACGTATTTTCCCAGTCGGAGGTCAATGAGCACCGATACGTTTTATCTATAATTTCTCTTCATAATTCTCTTCATATGACAAAGATTGAAAAGGATTTGCCATTAGATTGTCGACTTCATTCATGATGATGACTGCTAGCTTGCTAGCTAAGATTTTGAAAATATGGCGTTGACATGATCAGTCCAATCAACGCTACGGTAGATATAGTGCGTACTGCCCAGTACATCACTGGGGCCAAGCTTCCTGCCATCCAGGACCTCTATACCAGGCTGTGTCAGAGGAAGGCCCTAAAAATTGTCAAAGACTCCAGCCACCGTAGTCATAGACTGTTCTCTCTGCTACCGCATGGCAAGCGGTTCTGGAGCGCCAAGTCTAGGTCCAAAAGGCTTCTTAACAGCTTCTACCCCCAAGCCATAAGACTCCTGAACAGCTAATCAAATGGCTACCTGGACTATTTGCATTGTCCCCCCACCCCCTCTTTTACGGTGCTGCCACTCTCTGTTTATTATCTATGCATAGTCACTTTAACTCTACCTACATGTACATATTACCTCAATTACCTTGACTAACCAGTGCCCCCGCACATTGACTCTGTACCGGTACCCCCTGTATATAGCCTCGCTACTGTTATTTTACTGCTGCTCTTTAATTATTATTATTTATTTTTTCTTAAAACTGCATTGTTGGTTAAGGGCTTGTAAGTAAGCATTTCACTGTAAGGTCTACACCTGTTGTATTTGGCGCATGTGACAAATACAATTTGATTTGATTTGATTTATAACGTGATTTGACGTCATTTTATCTGTGGCCAATGACCTTGAGCCTTCTTGGATGGGCACTTCTAATGTAACTCTATGGCAGCACCCAAGGGGCTTGAATGGTTTTGCTCTCCCTGTAGATTTTGCAGTGACGTAGTGTCCCCATGAGTGACAGAACACTGAGCCAATCATGGCACAACTAGAGAATATTACCAACCCCTATGCCCTGTATTTTCCGCTGGCTGCCCCACCACCACAGAAAGCACTGAGCTAGACTGAAACACCTGCATTTTAGAGCTGCCTTACTCAAGAAAGCAAAAAAGAGACCATGTTTGTGTGCGGCTTTATTAACTCAATTGTTTTTCTTTTATTCTTTTACATTGTTTGCAAACTGATATGTGACACGTATTAATGCAAAAATAACAAACAAAACAGGCAACAACAACAAAAATATATATATATTATGATTATTATAGTTGCTAAACAGGTGGGGCTCAAAACAGGTGGGGCTCTGAATGACAGGTTGTCACTGCATGTGTGTATAGCTTTCCCAAACCAGCTTAATATACATTACACCCCACTGGGAAAAAACTGGTTGAATCAACGTTGTTTCCACGTCATTTCAACCCCAAAAATCTATGTGATGACATTGAATCAACGTGGAAAACTGATTGGATTTGCAAAAAGTAATCAACATAAAGGCATTTCGTATTTTTTCAACTAACATTTAACCTAACATGGTCATTATTTGGGGGGAGGGGAGATTTCACGTTGAATTCACGTTAGTTGACAACTTAACCAAATGAAAATCAAAACTAGACATTGAACTGACATCTGTGCCCAGTGACAGTATCACCCTCACTGAGAACTCGTTAATGGCCAGACCTCCAGCTTTGCTGAATGGGAGAGAGAGAGACCCAGACTAAAGACAGTTTCTAGGGACAACGTGGTAGATCTCCACCAAAAGACAGGTACTTTCCTCTGGGATCCTTGAGTAAAGCTCCCCCTCTCACCAAAGAGATCCTCTAGACTTGCCTGGAAGTATGTGGCAAGTTGCTGTTATCGACTCCTCATTTATGCTAATACACCTGCCATGCCTGTCCTCCGACTAGGTTCCTCCCTATGCCTCGAGTATGGGACATCCACATGCTTCCAACACCATGTGTGAGTTTGAAACCACCTGTGGAAAGTAGACACCATCGCTGAGCGGTTTCTCTGAAAAAAGCTGTAATCAATAAGAATGTTTGGCCCTTGACTCAAACTGAACTCTGATGAAATCACATCAACCTGGCTGGAGAGTGTCTTTTGGTCATGGAAGATGAATCCCACCCCATAGACAAAGAGCATTGTGAAACTGCAATACTTGATAAGTATATTATCAACAGAACAACAGACCCAATTTACTGGAATAGCTGTTCATAGATAGCTCTGGCAGAGAGCAGGTTCATGCTCCACATTACAACATCTGTAGAGTACGACCATACCTCACACAGGAAGCGGCACAGGTCCTAATCCAGGCACGTGTCATCTCCCGTCTGGACTACTGCAACTCGCTGTTGGCTGGGCTCCCCGCTTGTGCCATCAAAACCCTGCAATTTATCCAGAACGCCGAAGCCCGCCTGATGTTCAACCTTCCCAAGTTCTCCCATGTCACCCCGCTCCTCCGCACACTCCACTGGCTTCCAGTTGATGCTCACATCCACTACAAGACCATGGTACTTGCCTACGGAGCAGCAAGAGGAACTGTCCCTCCTTATCTTCAGGTTATGCTCAAACCCTACACCCCAACCTGAGTAGGGCAGCTCCTCAAGGGCAGCTCCTGCTCAAGTACCATGGTCTGGAGCAGGAGCTGCCCTCCCACCCCTACGGGAGGGCAGCTCCTGCTCAGCCCAGTCCAAGCTCTTCTCTGTTCTCAGGGTGATGAGAGGTGTTGGGTTTGCGCCATAGCGTTTTCCTTGATGGCCAAAAAGCTCAATTTTAGTCTCATTTTACCAGAGTACCTTCTTCCATATGTTTGGGGAGTCTCCCACATGCCTTTTGGCGAACACCAAACGTGTTTGCTTATTTTTTTCTTTAAGCAATGGCTTTTTTCTGGCCACTCTTCTGTAAAGCCCAGCTCTGTGGAGTGTACGGCTTAAAGTGGTCCTATGGTCAGATACTCCAATCTCCGCTGTGGAGCTTTGCAGCTCCTTCAGGGTTATCTTTGGTCACTTTGTTGCCACTCTGATTAATGCCCTCCTTGCCTGGTCCGTGAGTTTTGGTGTGCAGCCCTCTTTTGGCAGGTTTGTTGTGGTGCCATATTCTTTCAATTTTTTTATAATGGATTTAATGGTGCTCTGTGGGATGTTCATAGTTTCTGATATTTTTTTATAACCCAACCCTGATCTGTACTTCTCCACAACTTTGTCCCTGACCTGTTTGGAGAGCTCCTTGGTCTTCATGGTGCCGCTTGCTTAGTGGTGTTGCAGACTCTGGGGCCTTTCAGAACAGGTGTATATATACTGAGGTCATGTGACAGATCATGTGACACCTAAATAAAGTCCACCTGTGTGCAATCTAACTAATTATCTGACTTCCGAAGGTAATTGGTTGCACCAGATCTTATTTCAGGGCTTCATAGCAAAGGGGGTGAATACATATGCACGCACAACCTATTTTTTTGAATTTTTTGGTTGCACCAGATCTTATTTAGGGGCTTCATAGCAAAGCGGGTGAATACATATGCACGCACCACTTATTTTCTAGAATTTTTTTTTTTTTTTTTCATTTCACTTCACCAATATGGACTATTTTCCATTACATTAAATCCAAATAAAAATCTATTTAAATTACAGGTTGTAATACAACAAAATAGGAAGGACGCCAAAGGGGATGAATACTTTTGCAAGGCACTGTATGTACAATCCCTTTATCCAAACGGATTGCTCATGTACCTAGCTCTTATCAATTTATACATTACAGTGCATGGAGAATGCTGTTATTTCTATCTGAAAATAGAAAGTAGAGGTTTTTCCACTTGGAACAGACAGATTCACTCAACCTTATTCATGGTTTCCTCGAGCGTAAAGATGGTGGAATTAAGTCAAGGTCAGAATACGTATATCTGTCGACACACCTCTGCCACACCTCCATTTCTGTGATCTCCACCCTAAACGAATAGCTGGCTGGCATGTGTTTCCTCATGCTTAAGTTCAAGGTCAGAATGCGCACTGTGAGAAAAGTGCATGAAAAAGGAAAAAGTTAAATTTACACCTGGGTATCTTGGGCCCGAATTCCCCCCATTGGGAATAGCGGAATCAGTAAAGGGAGTAATGTGAGACCCGTACATGGTCTCGATTTATGAAGGGTCATGGATTCTGCCATTTGAGGAGCAGCAGATGGTGTGATAGTCTTTATAACACCCATCAGTGTGTGTGTGTGTGTGTGTATAGGGTTGTGGAGCTTGCAGTTTGAGCGCCACAGCACTGTGTGTGTGATCAGCAGCATGCCGTGGCTGGGCATGACCACCTTCAAAAGAACCCATGACCCCCCAGCAGGGATACATCTACATGGGCGACGGACTCAATAACCTGGACCTGCCCTTCATGCTTTAAAGAGCCAGTGAGACACTGAAAATCCCCATCAACCACTCATCTGAGCACAGCAGTTTCATCCCCACCCACCCTGAATGCAGCCAAAACTGAGTTATATTTATGCAAGAGATGTTTCTTTCCTGTTATTTAACATAAATAAACAGAAACAAAAATCATTCACTTTGTGATTTACTTCCACATGCACTTGGCTACTTCTGCTAATAGGCCCAGTAAATGCTTACTCCCACACTCATGCAAACATACACAGTAAACAGATAGTGGAGGGAGAGTAAGCAGATAAGTTTTATTTGCACATCTGGGCTGTCTTGAAGTACACAATGTCAACATACTACCTACATCGAAACAGTGTTACACTGATCCAATTGCTCTTGCGGTAAATGTGGAGGTTTTTAGTTAATTTTCAGGGCATCTTCAAAGGCCAAATTACAGAATGGGTGTTGCTTCTGGGTACTGCTCCGAATGACTTGTTCCAATGTGAAACAGCCACTAAAGGTCAATAAATAGGCTGGACCAATTCAGATGCTCCCTCAGCTGTTCAAAAGGCTCGTTTTCAAAGTCAATGGACGAGTCCCAAATGAGGAAGCAGTACCATGGGGACAGACATCCAATAGAATTGCTGCAAGTCTTCAATGTTTCAGGTAGAGGATTTTCTTGCCGTATTGTACGTTGTTTCTAAGAGCTGGGTGGCCGACAGAGATGCGATTTTTACACCACTTCAGCCCCGCCCTATAGATGGGCTTCACCGAATCAATGGACCAGCGAGTCAGGTATCTGTGTGATGAAACGACACAGGTGTGAGTTGGCCAGAGACAACGATACAGCAGAAGGTTAGCGAAAGTCGACGCACAATAGTTAGTGTTGAAAGGTAATGTGATGAGAGGTCTAACAAGCAACAATACAGGAGTGAGAGGGTATATACACTGAGACACTGCAGGAGTCAAACACACACACACTAGTTACCTGTTGAGCTGTGGCTTGGGCTTCTTTGGTACGTGTCCCTCTGGGAGAGGTGGTTTGTGATCGGGGAGAAGACCTGGAATAGAAAAGAGTATGTTTACCATCTTGAAGAGAATACACTTCACAATAGTTGAGTATCCAGAGCTGACACACACCGAGTATCGTACCTGCTCTGTGTGCCATTTGCACACAGATGGCGATCTTGCGGTGCTCTTGGGCACAGAGACCAGTGACTCTACGAGGCAGCATTCCTCCATCAGACCTGATGAACTGACTGAGCAACAGGACATCCTGACAAAGAAAAACACAGGGAATTACTGTACGTCTGAGCTCATAGAACAGGCACACATACTGATAGGCACAAATACTGATACACAGGCACACATACTGATATAAAATGCATGAGACACGTAGCAGATGTGAGTGTGTGGACCAGCACTGATCACGTTCACTATGATATTTCTGCTGAGCAGTCGAGAGGCAGTAGCTAAGTATTCAGTCAGGTGTCAGTGAAACACTTACTGTGTAGTTGTATTTATTCTGCAGGTTCCATCGGTAGATGGGGCACTGGGCTGTGGGGTTGGGTGGATGTGGTCCGGCTGGAGTATCCTGTGTTAACCCCTCAATCTGACAAATAATGTAATGACAGTCAATGACTACCGCGCAAAATACTTCCAATCTACTGTAGACATTTACTAGCTAGATAAAGTGTTTATAGGTAACATGGTATAGAGATTGTCTTATATCTTGTGTGGATACCATATTGACTAGTACTATTTAGTTAAATGCAATAAATCGACATAGCTAGAGAAACGCAACACATCACAACACAGAAACCACAAAATGAGTAGTGTGCAATGAAGAACCAACAGGTTAGCAAGCTTGTCACTTACTATTGTTGTTTTGCCTTCTTTCTTTTCCACGACTGTAAACACAGACAAAATTGCCACTTAGTACAATTCCAGGCCGTCAGTCAAGCCCTGTTTCATAACAAACCGGCAATCTACCTTAGCTTGTGCTTCTAGTTCGTTGAAAAAATAAATGCAACTGCAACATGGTCGTTCAAATAATCGAATTCTTATAATCAGTTGTCTTTAATTCCTAAAATAATCCTTATCGAAGGACAAAGCTTACTGAATGGATGCGCTACTGCTAGCATAGCCAACGCTAGCAGCGTGAGCTGTCATATGGCTACAACAGGATTCAAGGAGAATCTCACCATATCGAATTCCTCTGCTTTGAATATTTCCAAAAACCGAGAGTTGAGGGCAACTGGTTATACTCTGAAAGGCACTCATATTGCTGCTGCTAGCCACACATTTAACACCAGATAGAGAAGTCCAGATGGACCCCAGCACACAGCGCGCTGCCATCTTGGAATTGTGACCTTCTCTTCTTCCTGCTTCTTCTTCTTCTTCTTCTTCTTCTTCTTCGCTGAGGTTTATTGGCAGCCTACACACAAAAAGTTGTATTGCTGCCAGCTACTGTGCGGGGTGAAAACAAAAAGGTCCCAACTATAACAACAAAAATATGAACGCAACATGTAAAGTGCTGGTCCCATGGAATTTCAGACCACTGTCTTAGGGTAAAATAAGGCTGTCCAAGTATGCTATTGTCATAAATATAATGAACAAAAATATAAATGTGAAGTGTTTTATGAACTGAAATGAAAGATGCCAGACATTTTCCATATGCACAAACAGCTTATTTCTCTCAAATTTTGTGCACAAATTTGTTTACACCCCTGTTAATGAGCATTTCTCCTTTGCCAAGATACCTGACAGGTGTAGCATATCAAGAAGCTGATTAAACAGCATGATCATTACACAGGTGCACCTTGTGCTCGGGACAATAAAAGGCCACTAAAATGTGCAGTTTTGTCACACAACACAATGCCACAGATGTCTCAAGTTTTGAGGGAGCGTGCAATTGGCATGCTGACTGCAGGTATGTCCACCAGAGCTGTTGCCAGAGAATTGAATGTTAATTTCTCTACCATAAGCCATAATGTCGTCTTAGAAAATTTGCAGTACGTCCAACCGGCCTCACAACCGCAGGCCACGTGTATGGCGTTGTGTGGCCGAGCGCTTTGCCGATGTCAACGTTGTGAACAGAGTGCCCATGGTGGCGGTGGGGTTATGGTATAGGCAGGCATAAGCTACGGACAACGAACACAATTACATTTTATCGATGCCAATTTGAATGCACAGGGATACCGTGACGAGATCCTGAGGCCCATTATCATGTGATTCATCCGCCACCATCTCCTCATGTTTCAGCATGATAACGCATGGCCCCATGTCGCAAGGATCTGTACACAATTCCTGGAAGCTGGAAATGCCCCACTTCTTCCATGGCCTGCATACCCACCAGACATGTCACCCATTGAGCATGTTTGGGATGATCTGGATCAACGTGTACGACAGCGTGTTCCAGTTCCCGCCAATATCCAGCAAATTCGCACAGCAATTGAAGAGTGGGACAACATTCCACAGGCCACAATCAACCGCCTGACCAACTCAATGCAAAGGAGATGTGTGGAGGCAAATGGTGGTCACAGCAGATACTGACTGTTTTTTTATCCACGCCCCTACCTTTTAAAAAAAGGTATCTGTGTTTTTAAAGTTGTTTTAAAAGTTTTTTCAGTATATATGCAATCTATGGGTCCCAAAAACAGGAACAAACCAGTGTAACAAACATTACCTGGGAGGACGGGATATCTTCCGATGCCAGTACCCCAGTTGTAGGCAGTGGTTGTAGATCTTCCGTTGTGTACTCTTGCAGGCCCCAAAACTTTCCTGCCACAGCCACAATTATGTCCAGTTTATAACTGTGGCAATGAACGCCACAAAATTCACCTTTTTAACACGCATCGTATCCGGTTCTCTTGACTGGCAACAAGCATTCTTAATGGGCTGTGGTGTCTCAACTACCATAGAGCCCCACAGTGGAGGTTTCATAATACCCATAAAACCTAGCGGTCAAACAGGGAAATGGTTCCAATCATTTTTTCACCATACATTTTTCCCATATGGGATTTTAGAAACACTTAAAATAAAGGCTTACCCTGGCATGATGTTTTGATAACCATGTAAATATCTCTCAGACAAGGTGACTTGTATCAATATATTCGGCCCTCTGTACCCACTGTGACTTCTAGGAAGATATTAATCCACTTAACCCTAACATTTCACCATCATTGTAAAGCCCTAGTTATTTTGTTGCTTTGACAAAGTTATTTCTGAAGATTATTATTTATTTCATGTGATTTAGTGATTCATTTTAAGGTAAAAAAACAACAACAACCTGTCCCTCATTTTAAGGTCAACCCTGTTGGTGAAACTTTTCCTTAAAAAATAAAAAATAAATCAAAAGAATCATTGAACATCTAATAGTCAAATCATAGTGTAAAAGCAGGTGTGCTGGTTCAACTCTTTTTTGCCATTTTCTGGTGTTTTGTGGTGGAAGACTGAGTGGGTCGAGCATTACACGTCAACCCTGTTACCTATAGATAGACAGGCAAAAAATGTTTTAACAATTTCATTTTGTATGTGAAGCTTGCATTGAATTACCCCTCCTTGTTGCACACAACAAGCTTGGCTGATTTAAGATGAAATCGTCAACCCTGATACAGTCAACCCTTTTACTTCATTTGGCACTTAAGTGAAATCTGGGCAGAGCTCCATCAGGCATCCCCTCAAAGACAGCAGATGGAATCAAGGAGGCATCTGCCACACTCCAGACAGAATAAATCAATGGTCTAGATATCCATCCACCAATCAATACGTTGACCAAGGAAGGCCAATATGTAACCAATGTTCACAGCCTGGACACACTATTGTAGAGCAGCTGAAACACCCAGATTGGCTCCTTTAAACGAGTAAACACCACTGTGGCGGGTCAGACGGTGGGTAGTTTAGGGAATGATGGCCTAAAGAATGACACAACTTCTAAGCTTATTGGATGGATTCTAGTGGTAGAAATGCTCCACCCCTTTCTCAATTTTCTAACAGAAATGGGGTGTGCCTTTGGTGGTTCGTCGATGTGTCATTCTGATCATGCGTACCACGACCGACGTTGCAAGTTCGTTAGCTAAGCTAGCCACTTAGCTAGCCAGTAACTCCTCCAGTATGTGTTGACATCATTTCACAGGATTTGTTTTTGGATGGAAGCTGAGAGATAGGTAAGAAAGGGCACTTCTGTAGCCAAATACCTTATTCATCCAAATTTTGGGGGGTTTTAAGCGTTACATTTCCTGGTATTTGTATTTGTATTTATTATGGATCCCCATTAGCTGCTGCCAAGGCAGCAGTTACTCTTCCTGGGGTCCAGCAAAATTAAGGCAGTTATACAATTTTAAAAACATTACAATACATTCACAACAGATTTCACAACACATTAAGTGTGTGCCCTCAGGCCCCTACTCTACTACCACATATCTACAACACAAAATCCATGTGTACGTTTGTCTATAGTGCGTATGTTATGTGTGTGTACGCATGTGTCTGTGCCTATGTTTGTGTTGCTTCACAGTTCCCGCTGTTCCATAAGGTGTATGTTTATCTGTTTTATAAATCTAATTATACTGCTTGCATAAGTTACTTGATGTGGAATAGAGTTCCATGTAGTCATGGCTCTATGTAGTACTGTGCGCCTCCCATAGTCTGTTCTGGACTTGGGGACTGTGAAGGGCCTCTGGTGATATGTCTTGTGGGGTATGCATGGGTGTCCAGTAGTTCAAACAGACAGCTCGTGCATTCAACATGTCAATACCTCTCACAAATAGAAGTAGTGATGAAGTCAATCTCTCCTCCACTTTGAGCCAGAAAAGATTGACATACTTATTATTAATGTTAGCTCTCTGTGTACATCCAAGGGCCAGCCGTGCTGCCCTGTTCTGAGCCAATTGCAATTTTCCTAAGTCCCTCTTTGTGGCACCTGACCACATGACTGAACAGTTGTCCAGGTGCGACAAAACTAGGGCCTGTAGGACCTACCTTGTTAAAAGTGCTGTTAAGAAGGCAGAGTTACTCCAAGCAGTTTAGTCACCTCAACTTGCTAAATTTCCACATTATTCATTACAAGACTTAGTTGAGGTTTAGCGTTTAGTGAATGATTTGTCCCAAATACAATGCTTTTAGTTTTTGAAATATTTAGGACTAACTCATTCCTTGCCACCCATTCTGAAACTAACTACAGCCCTTTGTTAAGTGTTGCAGTCATTTCAGTCGCTGTAGTAGCTGACGTGTATAGTGTTGAGTCATCCACATACATAGGCACACTGGCTTTAACTCAAAGCCAGTGGCATGTCGTTAGTAAAGATTGAAAAAATTAAGGGGCCTAGACAGCTGCCCTGGGAAATTTATGATTCTACCTGGATTATGTTGGAGAGCCCCCACAATCTTTTTATCATAAATGTATCTCAGCCAATCATCAGTCATTTGTATGATAGTGCATTGATCAGTTATACAGTTTAAAGCCGTTATTTATGTGTTTTTGACCAAAGTCGACCTTTAAAGGGGTACCTATCTGTTGTCTATCGGATACAGGATCCCAAGAAACACTTTGGCCAGCAGGGCACACTACTGGAAGACCCTTCAGCATGGTTAGCCCTAAAAGCAGCTAATGAATTGAACATTCCATATTTGTGGTATGTACTGTTGGATGTGAAAATGGGTGATGTGCTCGTTCCTGATTGTGGTATTGTGGTTGTCCAAGACCATTGTTTGGCCAATACAGATGGCCTAGTGGGAACAAACATAATCAAAAACTGCTAGGACACCTTGACAAAAGACAATTTCACTGTGCCTTTCTAGTGGACACTTCCAGCAGCAGGTGTGGTAAAGGCCATGAAGGTGTGCACCAAAGTTTGCAGCCACCGATGGGTTTACAGGGTATGTACGTACCATTAATCGCTATCGTCTGAAGATTCCAGGTCAAAGTAAAATGCTTGTGTGGGGCCAGACCAGAGCGGGAGTGGAAGGCAAGGACTAACAGTGTCTGGTGGAGCCCATCTTTGAGAATGAGTTGCTCATCAACCAAGCTGTGTCCAGAGTCCAGCAGGGAAGGCTGCCTGTCCGAGTGAGTAACATCGGAGGCTGCCCTGGCTATCTACGTCAACACCAAAAACTTGACATGGCCTTCATAGTGAACCCTGCAGACGTCATACAGGATAATGATGTGAGTATATCCAGGGTGCGTGAACAGGCTGTGCAAGACAGTTTAACGCATGCACAACAACCAACTGCATAACAGCCTATACTAGTTGACCTGACAGGTGTAGACATTTCCCCTGAACAGAGACTGAAAATGCAAGCACTGTTACAAAAGCACCAGGCTACATTCGCTGACCATGGTAAAGATTATGGAAAGACAACATAGTCCAGCATGTGATCTC